TGTCGAGTTTCTCGAGTTTCTCTATATATTATATCTTAAAATGTACGTTTCGAGCTTCCGCCGACGGTTAAATTTTCGTATCGATTTACGCGATACGCACGAAGGGAAAGGAATTGTCGAGTTTCTCTATATATTATATCTTAAAATGTACGTTTCGAGCTTCCGCCGACGGTTAAATTTTCGTATCGATTTACGCAAAAATTACGATACGCACGCAGTCAATTAGTACATTTTACCGGAGACCGGAAACACATCCCTGAAGATGAAAAAATTCAGCGGACGTAATTGATTTTTTTTTTCGCTGCCTCTCTGTACCGACGCTGTTAATTATTAACTGTTCTCTCTGCGAGCCGTATTTATTAATCATCCGGCGATACTTGCTGCTGTATGCGACATCAATAATATACGTAATACTGCTTATGCGGCATAATCGTTAATCGCGGCTGAACACGATGCAATAATTTTACACGCGCGCACGTTCTACACGTTCGGTGAAATGGTAAAAGTAAATATAAGTTGGACGAAATTCGTGCGAGAATTTCACGACGAATCTCTCCTTGAATCGAAAATCATGCAGCCAACAGTGAGAGTGTTAGTTTCGCTGGACTAGCGCGCGAGCAGAATTCGATTAGTTACATTCTGAAAACAAGTATAAAGAAGTCGAACAATTCTTTGCATTTTACATGAGTTTTTGACTACTATGCCGAGATATACATCCAAGTCTTTTCCTGCTCATTCGTAATTACACCGTACAATTGCGCTCGAATATAGAAAGCATATTTCTCCCATTAATTTCGACTTTTCAAATTAGAGAATTAAGTAATTTGCGAAAGATATTTCCCTACTTTCTCCCTATCTCTCTACTTTCATCATATATTAAAATTCGCAAACTTCTCTCTCTAACTACTCGAAGCGGCGAAGGAATCTGTAACATTCTCGTTTTCGACATCGTCGGCGTGCGTTCGTTCCTCGAGATATCCACTCGTGAAAATATACTTGTTTTCGCGGCGCATTAGCTATTCCGACCAGCAGCAAGTTTCCGCGATTTTCGCAACCGTTGGATTGGATTCACCAGCTCGATTCAGCGCGGTGGCCGTGTTTTATCTGTATCTTTGGCCGCGGTCGACGATCGGCGAGATCGTAAAACGGCTGGACTCGTTGTCAGTGGTATTTCCAATTGGCCGGTCGCGATCTCCAGAAGAAAACCGGTTCGACGACCAGCCCTGGATATATGTATCGCAGCCTCCCGCCTTGCGCGCCCCCCCCCCCCGTTCGTCTTCTCTCCTCCCGTCTCCTTTCCCTTTACATCTTCTTACTTCTCGCCGTCCTGTACTCACTTCCTTATCTGCGCTCGAACTCGCGAGCGTTCCACCTCCCGGGACACCGACTACTAGTTTCAACATTATTTTTACAGTGCTCGTCGTGATTTTATACGTGTGGTTAAAATGCCGCGATCGTGAAATATCAAGATTCGGTCGCGATCGAGTTTAGTTGAATGTGACACCATCCGTTTTCGCAAAACGCGAGGAAGGGAACGCGGAGAGGCCGATCTATTTGCGCGATCGGTGGTCAGCGATCTCTCTTCGCAACGCGATTACGATGATGGACATACCCAGGTACGCGAACGATCGATGCGTGAACGTTTCGCCGGAACTATAGATCGACACACAAAGAAGCGAGAAACCTTCGGCTCACACAGAAAGAGAGAGAGAGAGAGAGAGGTTCCGGCGGAGTTTTTAAAATGGCTAGGCAGTGGACCGCTCTGAGGCGATGGAATATCGAGATTCGGCAGTCATGTAGAAGAAAGTCGATGTCGGATCAAAAGCCTTCGCGTTGATCCTGCAGCAGATTTCCTCGAGAGATCCGTCACACAACGGCGAATTCGGATCGCCGACTTCTTAGTCTCGAACAAAGCGAAGGAATGAGACTCTAAGACGGAAAGATATTATTCGCGAGATTCGGTGGATTCTGCGAATTGTGCGGGGACCGAAAAGAACGGGACGTCATCTTGAAGAGAATGTCGCGAATCTCGCGAAGGGACCATCACCGGCTCGCAAATTTGGAGAATTTTTGCGAACGGTGAGAGAGAAGAAGTTTCGTGTGTTTGGTTTTCAAGTTGGATTGAACTCGGGGGATTTTAGGGCAGCTTGTCCGGAAAATTGGCAGTGTGTTGGTTCGTGAAGATTTTCGCAATGTATTGCAATGGACCGCGCAAGATTCTAGCTATGAGCGATGCTTTTGAACGTAACGTTCATCGAAAGTTCGGCCGTTAGTTCCGCTCCGTTGGAATTCGCCTCGCCGAGGGCTGATTCTTTCGCGCGATTACGCGAGGCGGAACGACGTGCTTGAGGATTCCGAAAGAGCACGAAACGGCTCGCTCGCGCATCTCGCTCTCTTGCAATTCATTTATAATAATTGAAGCGATCATGCGTCGCACGAATGGTCGCGGCGACGACGTCAATGGCGCACGTCCAATCGCCAATCGTTACATTAGATTACGGATTCCGCGCAATATCGCGGCTATCGTCCCTACATGTACCAGTGTATAGTAACCCGACAATCAGGGATTCAGCTTGCTCGTGAATCGATCAAAAGATCGCACTATCGTGGCACCGAGTCGTCTCGGAGAAACGAAAAAAAAAAAGAAATATCCGAAAGATATCGAGAAGAGAACGATCTATATAAAAATCCAAAAATTCGCTTTTACGGACAATCGAAACTAATTTGATCACCGCATGCGCATATTTCTGCGCATATAATAAACGCGCAACGTATACAAATCCAGTGAATGTGAAAAGTGTCGGTTTTGTCGTATCGCGCTTGTTCGTAACTCCTCCCTCGTCGGGTTTTGTTATAACGCAAGCCTGCTCATTCTCATTCCTCTCTTTCAAGCAGTGTGCAAATATACATATATATATATATACATATACACGCGCTCGTATACGAGTAGCGGAGATCGCGTGCCCGCGTGGTCTCGTGCCTCGACGCTTGTCGTTACACGTCTGATCGCAAGTGTAACGAAACTTCCTGTATACACGCGGTATCGCGCCCTGTCACGGTACAGTAAAGTTCGCGTCGTACTGTGTATGGACCGGCCTGCCGTTTAAACGTACTGGATTCCATCCTCGAGTAGCGGAAAGAGAAAGAGAGATTGAGAGAGAAGGGAAGAGAGAGGAAGATCTCTCGACGGAGGAAGATATGTGCGGCGTGGGATATCCGTTTCGGATCGGTCTCGACTATCGGAAGTCGGTACGGATTCGTCGGTACGGTGGCACTCGCATTTAGGCAACCTGAAACGATACGAGGGCTGGAAGGGTGGGAGGGAGAGGTAGAGAGTGCGGATCGAGGGTGCGTGAGCGGTTCTAATCAACGTCGATCGAGTTAGATTAGGGTCGGAGTGGTTCCAAAAGGGGCACCGATAAAAGCTATGGGCATCATGGATGCGTGGAAGCGAGGTCGGATAATCTATGCTTATCTCATATGGGTCGTCTTCAAGGCTACCACGGCGGGGGGACTTTATGGTGAGTACATACACATTCGGCTCTCTAATATTTTCAAGATTTCGGCGTACACATTTTGTTGTCGAATCCCGCGCGAAAAATAGTTACATCTTACACATACATTCTTTGTTTGAAAGTAGGGATATAAAAATATATAAGAGAGATCGTAAGAAAAATAAAAGTATCGAGATGGGAAATAACTCGTTTCTGGAATGTAAAGAAAATAGCGGTTTCGCTCAAGAAGTTGTTGAGAGAGGCTATAGAGACTTCCGGTAAACAGTGTCCCGACTATTCAACGCCGCGCACGAGACATGACATCGAAATTACTTTAACCTTTCGATCGCCCCTCGTAAATATAGTCGCGTAGGAGAAACGCTGCCATTGACTCGGGTCGCTGTACAGGCTATAAATGTTATATTGATCGTTGCATAGCGAAGGGGACTGCATCAACACTGTGCATATTTGAAATTGTGTATGCGAATAATAATACGTAGCGGTGAAGTTGCAAACAAATGAAAACAAAAAAAAAAACAAAAAAAACAAAAAAAAATAGATCGCGCTGACCGACCGACAAAGTAATGTTAGTACAAATTCGAAAGCCTCGTTACAAAAGTTCGATTGTGCGAGGCTTCGGGTTGACCGACGCAAACTCGTAACAGGGAAAATTGCGAAAACGTTAATTAACGTTCACGATAGACTTTTCGCGCTAACGCAAATATGCAGAAATATATCTCTGAATTCTTAACGTATACGTGCATTTTTAATGATAATTTGCGAGTATATATCGCAAGTTGGGCGATAAATAGAAGAATATTATGCGATGTGTTTAATCTCTGGCGAGAATCGTCCCGCTCTCTTTTGCATTTAATTCGAGTTGTTGAAATAACCAACTATGACATCGATATATCATTCTTCCATCAATCTGATGGGGATAATATTCATAAAATTTATGTCACATTATCACGCGTATATCTAGATAATATTGTTATATTTAATCATTAATCTGTCCCATCAATCTGCCATATATGCCGATATTATATTATTCATCAACTTTATGCCATTATTATATTTATATAATGCTAAGCTCCGCTAATAAGTTAATATATTATCTTTTTTTAAAATAATTTTTTTCGTACGTTTATATTAAATTTTTTTTCTTTCTACAAATTCTACATTAATTCTTTTTTCTTTATAGAAATATTATGAACGCGTTATTTTTTTAAGGTATATTCGCGCGAGTACGATAATAAAAGATTGCATATTATCTCTGGAATTAAATCCGCATTCAGTACAAAAATGAGGGAGAGATAATAGACACACACATATATTTAATTTTTATTAACACATATTTAGCATGAAACTACCATAATTATCATATATAACTCTCGACATATATTGTTTTGAAGATATTCAGAAATTAATATCGATTGAGGAAAAGACGCGGTGAGAAGGAGAGAAAGAGAGAGATATTTTAATTTGCGCATCGTTAATGAGAGACATGGCTTTAGTGTTCGCCGGATTCGCAAAAGAGTAGATTGGTCTTTGTGACAGAACAGTAGTATTTTAAATCAGTGGAAACGGTCGTACGAAGAATTTTACAATGCCCCATTTTGTTCCCTCCCTTCCTGGTTTCTCCGGGTAGTGGAACACGTAAAGAAGAGCCGGAATAAAAGTGAATGTTACTTGTACGAGGCGACGCGCTCTCCGAGCTGCGGTCTCGAGCTCCGCGTCCGAGACTCGAGTTCACATTTTTCAATTTGTATCTCCTCGCCGTACGTGGTACTTAGCCATCGAGGTGCTGTTCTTAGGTCGGACTTACCACGGTAAAAGTGGTGTGGGGTTCGAAGTATACCGCGTATCCGTGATACAGAGATGCTGTAACAGCGAGGCGAGTGGCATTAACTAGCGGCGCGCGTGATCGCCGACGTTGCTGATTGATCGGTTCGTGTACAACATGTCATCGTGTTCGACAGGGTAGAAGGTGCGCGACCGACGACATATCGGATTGATGATGATGATGATTTTCGCTCGATGATTTTACACGACGAGGCGAGACGAGACGCGTTCGTTGCGACGCGATTAACATTTTTCACCCGCGCGTTTACACCACGACAACGTATGCGAGTATTAAATGTTGCGTTATCATCGCGTAGATTAATTATGAATCAACATGTAACCTAAATAGGCCGTTAATTAATACGTGTCAAACCGTTGGGATGCCCGCGGAAACCGCGCTCGGGCTGATACGTTATGCTAGCCACCGTCATCGGGACCTAACATCCTTCCGACTCGGTATAAATCTCCCGTCGTCGCTCGTCGCGTTAATGTTTCTACGGAATACCGTCGGCCTTAATGAACACTTACATGGACGGAATATCGCGCACATCGTGCCGAATGTAACGCTCGCGCAATTGCGGCGGAAATGGGATAAATGAAGCGTGCGAGCGCGGAAGAAAGGTCGTGGCTTGGTAGAGATAGTGGTACCGCGTCCTGCGAATTAGATCTAAGAGGTATGTGGCGTACCCTCACATATACATAAGTAGTAACACACGTTCGCATGTGTATGTGTGTACGAGCATTCTGCACACGGAGAATCGCGAGCGCGTTACATGCTCCTACATAAATGCTGCGTATCCGTACATCCGACTTTCGTGTAAATTGGAATTGCAATTAACGGCTACATTTGCTACGGTCCAGCATGTTACAGCCCCTGTCGGTGTGCGAGAGTTCACCTTCCATATTTCTATATTCTGTCTCTCTCTCTTTCTATTTCTCTCCTTCTTGAGCAGCAATGCTGTTCTCTTTCGTGTGTCGGCCAATTATGTATTCTTGTACCATGCAAGAATTTATCGTCGCGTAATTGCCTGTCCCGATGGCTGGTTAAGAGCACAGCGGCACGGAAACCGAAATCGATCACGATCGGGCTTGGGGTACGCTCCCTCATCGGCCATAGAAATCAACGGGTATCGAGTTTCCGTCCGGAGGATCCTCGGTCCGAGAACTCGGTCGTTCTAAATGTTTCAAAGCGGTTAATGGAATTTGTCAGTGACAGAAATTAGATGAACGGAATATGTACCCGTCGCGGCGGAATAAATTTATTTTGTCATGAATTGGGCTTTTGGGTCGTTGGAACAAACTCTGGACGATGGTAGAGTACCAGTATGAAAATCCGAAACTAATTTCGCAATTAGCCACAATCCCGCACGGTGAATAAATGTTGTATTTCGGTAACGAGAGAGTTTGCGCGACCGCAGAGAGACAGAGAGAGTGACAAAAAGATAAATATTGCCGCATTAAATTTTCGGCCATTTCGTTAGATGTGTAATTCGGCCGCGTGTACATTGATTGCGTGTATCGTAGTCCCCGCAATTTTCACTACCGAGTCTATACTGCGTGTCTTTAATCCGTCTAAAGCGCAGACATGGCGTGCGTTAGAATAATTTGTCCCGCTGTCGTTGTTTTCACTCGCGGCTGGCGGCGTTGAACCTGACGGCTTCATTCAAAATGCAAAAGACGTTTTCTATATTTCGCCAGTTAACGCCTAAATAAGCCGGTCGAGCTCGCGCCTTACGCGAAGGATTTAATTTACTCACACATATAAATTCTACGAGCACACTTTGATTTATATCCATCGCGGGCTTTGTCTGAGCGAAATTGTCTTCACCATCGACATTATCAAATTATCGCGTCATCCTACTAAATATATATATTGCGCCAATAATCTGCTTGGGAATGGAGCATTCGATTATATAACGCTTTGTCGCGCTGCGGAAATTATCTAAACATTTGGAATACGGGAATTGGCACTATTAGTCAGAATTATATTTTAGGATAAATGAACACTCTTGGAGTTAATAAGGTTAAGGTTACACAAAATAAAGAATGAAAGTGATCCTTAGATTTTTGGCCTGATTTTACACACGTAATTTCCTAATTATAGTCCATTATAGATCTCACGATATTTTTATCTAATTAAATAAATCATATATAATAGTATTCTCATGCAAATCTTCTGATCATAATCATTCATAATGCAAAATACAATATAAAACGGATTAAATTATTTGAATTCAAAGGAAAGAACATTTAATATACTAAAAGTATACCGCTGGTGAAGTTAATGGTTAAAAATATACAAAGCTATGTATAAAAATTTTATTTGAAAATTGTCTTTTTTATAATTAATTTTATTTCTATTTCAAACCTTTAACTATGCTTTATGATTTGCGATTAAATTGCATATGAATATATATTTTTTTCCGAATATTATCCTTTATAGAGCCGGAAATCGATATTTTTTTCAAAATATAACATCTTTGATCGCAACGAGCATAGTTTTAAGGAAATGCAATTAATCCTCAGGTGCACGCAGGTGTCGTATACTCGGAGTAGAATCGTGACGACTGGCTGACACGTTATCGCGATCGTGGAAAATCGATGTTGATGAAAGTTTTGAGATTCTTGAACTCACGAGGAAGGGGAGATTCTCGGAACGCGAGTATATCGATCGCCGTCGTCGTGGCCTCGCAATTTCGGTCGAAGCAAAGTACGTGCGAGAGAGGGCTGCGGTAGGTTAGGTCTTTGGCCTGGATACCGATGCATCTTTGGAGTTAGGCCGGCCATCGGCGTCGTCGAAATTGAATTTCTCAAGGACGATTAGGCGCCCCGCCATCCTTGCCGCACACGAGAGAAATAGGCAGGACGCGAATGTCGTGGCTCCGTGAAGGAAGAGCCGGCGCGGTCCCGAGAATGCCCCGCAAAACCGACAACGCCGAGATGTCGGCGTGAATTAGAGAGGCGAAGAAATGGTAACCGGATAATACGATGGCAGAAGTTAGAGGTCGAATGCGCGAAATGGATCGACCGCAACGAAATAGCCGTGTGCGAATGACATGAACTGTTCGACGCTCTGATCGCGAGAGAGGATGTTTCGTGAAATAATGTATCAGTTAGCGATTAAAACGACTAACATCTTGCGGCGATTTTTTTTTTTATTCATGTTTTGTCGCGTTACATTTTGT